TACATTCTTCAGCAATATCCGGTCAAATTCGAGGAAGTTCCTCAACTTAGAATTCTAATTTGCAATATTACAATTTCTAAACTTGGAATTGTGATGAACTACAGAAGGAGAAAATACCACCCAGCCCACTATACTTATAAGTTAGAGTGCAGCGAAATATTTAAACTCAGTGAAAACATTCTCTGCTTCCTTGGGTCTGGGAGGTAGAGAGTAGACAGAATGATCTAAATGTGATACATGAGAAAAGAAAGGCCTAGAAAGGATAGGTGTCTTCTAGGGTAAGTCATTGGTCAGTGAGAATGTAGAATTGGTTTTGATTTCAAATCCATGCTCTAGGGTTAGAGTTCTGCTTTCTCAGGCTTGGCCGGTTTTAGCCACAATCAGATTGATTATTGGTGTGGCTGGAGCTTAATTATACCCTTTATAAACAGGATGGACAGGTCTCTGGATGGCATCTTGTAATCCCATCTTTCTCTTCCATACCATACTTCATTTTGCCTTCATGTAGAAAATACGATTAGAAAGTACATGTTTTCTTCTTTCCCACAATGAATTTCCTTCATAGAGTTTAGGCAGTATTAGATGTAGCTTCTGATCAACATTCTTGGTGTGAAATTGGTAGTGGAAAGTGGAAGGAGAGGCTGAAATAGTCAACATGGTTGTGTTAAAAAAAAAAAAAAAAAAGAGTAAGAAAGGAAAAAACCAAACCAAAAAAACTACCTCACTGTCTTTAAATAAAACAAGCTCTCTATGTTTATGACAAGAGAGAACAGGAAAGCCTTTGTGCTTATCTTTCTGGCTCTAGGCATTAGGGAATCCCAACTTTTTTTTTTTTAAATCAGGTAATGAAGGCCTAGAACTTTTTCCCACCTTCAGTGAAAAAGTTCATCATCAGACTTTCTTGGCATGCATAATGCAAAAAGATGCCAATCTTGAAAGCATTTCATCCTAGGATGGTTTAGTGATGACACCTAGATGAACATGCCATTTTATTCTCCCATCTCTACCAGCTGACTGACTCTGGTTTTCCCAGGTGAAATTCTTGCCGGAGGGCTAGAAATTAGTCACGACAAATACTTATACTCCACTCAGCCACTCCTTGCTGAAGAGCAGACATTTGTTCTGCAAACACTTGGAGCAATAAAAATGTAGAACCTTAAAGTTTTTTTTTTTTCTATTTTTCCTAAAGTAAAATCTTTACCTATTGTAAAATTCAAATGCCCTACCATTTAGAATTCAGTCAAGTTCTGGTACATTTTCACCATCGATAAGTGTTGGCAACCTACATTTCATAGAGAAAGGGAGAACTGAACAATAAAACTTTTGATGGGCTAAAATGTTAATGCTCTGAATTCTGTGATATGTCACTAGGGATTTAAATACTTTACTTTTCATATGTATCTCACCTTTGGGCATTCTGGTTAATTGGGAAGAGAAAGTCTTATACATTCCTAGGAATAACTTCCTATTCCAGCAGTTTTACCACGAACTTGTAGCCATTATAGGTCCCTCTCTAGCCAATGACCCAAGTTTAGTTCCCATATATCCTCTGCCTCTTCCATGACCAATGATTGACTACAAGTTATCCAATAGTGACTGGGGTTAGGATGGTACTAAATAGAACTCCATTTAGTTCTTCCAGCCACCCTTTTTAACCAGTGGCAGTACCACCATGCCAATGAGAAAACCAGTATTCAAGAAAAACCAAACAATACGCTCAAGGTTACACAGCAGGCAGACATCAGGAACGAGGTCTGGGACGTCCCCTAAACTCTTGCCCTGCATTATTTATTGTACTATTCGGAAGGAAAACAAACCATTGGCCTCCCGGACTGGAAAAAAAAAAAAAAACTTTAAAGCTAAACTCCATGAAGAGTACTTACTGGGTGCTCTGGGAGGTAAAACAAACATGGTGGACACCACTCACCGGCAATAATTAACAGACACTTATCCAGAAAGGCTGGCAGGCCTCTGCTGGTGCATCTTGAAAAAAACCTCTTTTTAAAACAGTCTTTTGGGCTCAGTCTTTTTGATTCTTGGTACATCTTTGTCCTAGCTTGCTGTTAAACCACATTATTATCATAGCACAGCCACGTGGCTCAAGAGGCTGAACATTTCAGTGTGTCCCTATAACCTTATTCAATGGGTATCAGTATTTGGAAATGTTTAAATTATGCATTCATTTATTTGTTTAAGCTGGACTGGGAGAGGGACTTAGAGAATACTCCCCACCCCTCTCAATGAACTCAAATCAGTAGGGCATAGGAAATATTAAGTATATGGATGCAAAATCCATCGTCAGATTTTAACAGAAGAACAAAGCAGAAAGCAAAAGGTGGTACAGGATAAACACATTCTAAAATAATCAAAAAAGAGATTGCAAAAAAGAGACAGCATAAAAACACAGGATGTGTTTTTCTGTTTCCTTTAGAAGTGTGTGGCGTGTCTTGAAAATGAAATAAGAAAACTCTGCAAATTAAAAAAAAAGGAAAACTCTGCAAATAAAAAAAAAAAAAGGAAGTGGCTTCTGACTCTTGTCTAGACTTTGGAATGAATAAGCCACCTGATTATGATCAGTGTCAAGCAATATTTACCAATTTTTATGAAGCTGTGAAGGTAAAGAGAGGCTGTGAGTCACAAGCGCAAAAGAGGAAATTATGTTAATATTTACTGTACAGATTCTGACTCACCATTCTTTAGGGGAAAACAATCTGCTTTTTCTTTGAAGCATTTACATTCTGAAGGAATCTCAATCTTCTCAAGCATGTTAGTTGAGAAATTACTTACAAGTTGATTAAATTACGTATGTTCTTTTAATTAATTAATTAATTATTATTTTGTGCTGGTACTGGGATTCAACTCAGGGCCCGAGATCTCTCTCTTAGCTGTTTGACTCAAGGCTGATGTTCTACTACTTGAATCATATCCCACATTTGTCTTTTTGCTGAATAATTGGAGATAAGTGTCTTACTGACTTTCTTATCCTGTCTGGCTTCAAGCCACAATGCTCACTGGATTAGGGTGTGGCTCAAGTGGTAGAGCATTTGCTCAGTAAGCATAAGCCCCTGAATGCAATCCCCTGTACCACTAAATATATATATATATATATATATATAATAAGCACAATCCTGAGTAGTTAGGACTACAGGTGTGACCTAGATTATTCACTGAGGTATAGTGTACACACCTGCTCAAGCAGGAACACTATTTCTCCTATTCTTCCTAGACATTAAATTGATCTGCCTTGCAGAAACAAAATAGTAATCCTATGACTTCATACATGCTCTCTCGATGTCCCCTTTATATATGGGGATCGATGGTTGAATGTTGCTTTCTCATTGTCATTCATAATTTCTGGTAAGACGCCTCAACGTACAACTAGTCTGGTTCATGAGAGCTTGGAAAGAGGTTGTGTACAGCCTGAGACTACTCTTATCTGTCACAGCTCTAAAACGGTGACAAGGAGAGGAGATATACTTTCATAACTCAAGGAAGACTGTGAGCACAGACTGATCCTAGACAAGGACCCTGACAAGGTGCAGAGTGCTGTGGAATGATTCGGGGCTGCTTTATGAAAAGTAGAACCTGAGACAGACGGACCAGCGAGGAGGGATTTAAGGCTGTGATGCTAGTGGAGATGATGCAGGTAGGCTAACCAGGATCTGCTAACAGAGGCATTGTTTCACTCATGCAGCTGCTTATGATGCTGGCACAACCAATCAGACATCAGGAGTAGAGCTTGTCCGTCACTGAAATGATTCTCAAAGGGCCAACAGCAGCTGGATGATGATCTATATGAACTCATCAATTCTTAAATAGGCAAAAAAAATCTATGGGATGCTTATGCTTTCAGTCAAGAGAGGCAACTTCATAATCAATCTTAAGTACCAATTCATGTTCTGGAAAATCCAAATCTCAGAGACTATGAGTCTTACCTTTTCATATGTACTGCCTTTTTTAGCTTTCTTTACAAAAAATAAACATGTTTATCTCAGAAAACTGAAACAGTGATGAGGAAAAAGTAGAGCTAGGCACTGGTGGCCCATGCCAATAATCTGACCTGCTCAGGAGGCTGAGATCTGGAGGACTGAGGTTGAAGGCCAGCTCAGGCAGAAAAGTTTGCTAGACTCTATCTTTGAAATAATCAGCAAAGTGCTCTGCAGGACTGGCTCAAGTGGTAGAACACAAGGCAAAACACAAAGCCTTGAGTCCAAACCTCAGTACCATCAAACACACAAAAAGATAAGTAAACAGTAGAAGCAGTTGCAGCATGAAGATGACTTATAACCATTTTATTAAAAAGTAATTGGTACCCCCAAATTCTGGATTTAAAATATATTCATTGGACTACCTAACCCTGCAAAAGTGTGTACATATGTATGTATGCATTCATGTACATACATATACAAATGTAAACTTTATAAAATACATGGCAACCTTCTACTCATGCTAACTTAAAAAACAGAAACGTATGTGTAGGTGCTTAGGAGATACATTACAGTCTGTATCCTGGTAACTAAACCTCAGTGCAGATTGGCATCATTCAAGAGAATCATGCAGATAGTGCACAAATGAGTTGTAAAACAACTTCATAGTTTTCCGGGCATCAGTGGCTCACACCTGTAATCCTGCTATTCAGGAAGCTGAGAGCTGAGGATCATGCTTCAAAGCCAGCCTGGATAGGAAAGTCCATGAGACTCTTATCTCCAATTAACCACCAGAAAACCGGAAGTGGTGCTGTGGCTCAAGTGGTAGAGCACTTGCCTTGAGCTGAAGAGTTGAGGGACAGTGCCCAGGCCTAGAGTTTAAGCCCCATGACTGACAAAACTAAACCAAAACAACAACAAAAAACTTCATAGTTCACTTGAGTTTTTCCAGACCCATGGCTTCACTAAGCTAAGTGGTTTGCCAAGATCCTTCCAGGGCCTCCTGACAATGGTGTGGCCAGCTTCTCTATCAGTTCAAGGTCCTCCTAGGTTGATAAAGTCAGTCACACTTACTTTCCGAGGCTTCACTTTATCCTGTATATCATACTGGCCGATCCCTTTATAGCTGATTCCAAGCCACCAGGGAAGTTCTTGTTTGTCCTAGAAGATGGAAAACAGTGAGAAAGAACAAAGACCTAACTGTTCAGCCTTCTAGAGGGCCAATAATAGTCACTAGCCTCTTCTCTTCACAAGCAGGAACAGGTCGAAGCCAAGTTGTCTTGGTAAACCAAACACTACTTAAGAAACTTGTCGTTCAAATGTTCTGAGGTTTCTTCAAATAATAGATAGAGGTCAAGAGATCAATACTGTATACACCATCAAAAAGAATTTGAAGTATTACTGTTTTGATTAAATAGCTGGATAGAGCAAAATCTAAGTAATTCAACTGGGAATGTACCCAGTACGAAGCTAGTTATCCATTATTTTGTTTTGTTATCCATTAATGGATAACAAAAAACCCTCTTGTTCTCTGAATTAGTAACCAGCTATAAAGGTTGGAGAAGTTCCCAAAGAATTACAACAACCAGAAAACTGGTTCCAAGTCCTGATGTTTACAACACAATTAACAATAGACACAGGAACATCCCCAAACCCTTTTGGTTAAGCGCATAACTCAACACCAGGGCTTGTGAATAATCATTTTGTGGTAGAGATGAGAAAGGGAACAGTACATTTTTCTATATAAATCTACGTTCTAGTTCTTGTCAGAGTGAAGGCCAAAAATGAAAGGTAGGCTCCAAAATACACATTCATGCAAATCAGAAATTTAATCAGTAGAATTTAATCAGGAGAATTTAAATTACCCATAGTTTTAGTACAGGGTAGCTTCACTATGCAAGTATTTATGACCTAATTTCCCAGCGTCTTCAATTGTAAAAATGTTAACACTGTTGTAACATCAAAAGTCACTCAAGCCAGGTGCTGCTGGCTCATGCTTATAATCCTAGCTACTAAGGAGGCTGAGATCTGAGGATCATGGTTCAAAGCCAGCCTGTGTAGGAAAGTCCATGAGACTCTTATCTCCAATGAACCACAAGAAAACAAGAAGTGGCGCTGTGGCTCATGTGGTAGAGCGCTTGCCTTGAGCTGAAGAGCGCAGGGACAGTGCCCCAGGGCCACCACCACCACCAACAAAGTCACTCAAGCAAAGAGCTAGAGGCTCATACTGATAATCCTAGTTACTCAGAAGACTGAGGATCAAGGTTTGGAGCTAGCCAGGGTAGACAAATCCAAAAGACTTATCACCAATTTACCAGCAAAAAGCAGGGAAGGAGGTTTGGCTCAAGTGGTACAGTGCCAAGTGTAAGTGAAAAAGCCTTGAAAGGCCCTGAGTTCAAGTCCCAGTAACAGCTCTCTCTCTGTCATACACATACACACACACACACACACACACACACACACAGAGCTACTCAAAATGGATCAATATAAAATGACTCATCTTTCAGACAAGTCTCTAACTTCAGCTATACTTTAATCCCTTACCATCAAAATATTCCTTAGTCAACCTTTTTGCTGATAAACTCTGAAAATACTATGCAAAATATCAAACATATTGTATGATTTTCATACAGAAATACTATCAGATGAAAACCTAGTAACACTGGAGGCATGAACAATGGTTAAAGTAAGAACCAGTAAGGTGAGTGTACCAAAAGAGAACTTTGTAGGGCTTATTGTCTGGCTCCGTGGGGTAGCATGTATTTAGCATGCACAAGTACCTAGGTTCAACCCCCAGCACCAACAAAGGAAGAAAAAAAATAAAAGAGAATGACCTGAGTATCTTAGAACTAAGAGAAGCCTTAAAAAAGCATCTAATAAGTAGCAAGTATTCTTGCAAAAAATAACATGCTTTATAATTTGTTAAAAATAACAAGATGGGGACTTGGAAGGTGGCTCAGTGGTAGAGTGCTTGCCTTACATGCATGATGTCCTAGGTTCGATTCCTTAGCATCAGATAAGCAGAAAAAGCTGGAAGTAATGCTGTGGCTCAAGTGGTAGAGCACGAGCTAAAGGGACAGCGCCCCAGGCCCAGAGTTCAGGCTCCAGGACCAAAGGAAAAGAAACAAAAAAACCAAGATAAACAATGTCTTATCCCGAAAATTGTGTTTTTAGAAATATGTAATTGTAAAGAAATTAATTTTTTGTGTTGTATCCATTAGAAAAAAAAAAAGTGCCAGGCACCAGTGACACATGCCTGTAATCCTAGCTATTCAGGAGGCTAAGATTGGAGGATCTCATTTTTTAACAGCTCAGGCCGGAAAATTCCATGACACTTTTTTCTCCAATTAATCACTAAAAAGCCAGAATCAGAGCTGTGGCTCAAGTAGTACTTTGAGCAAAATAGCAATGAGACAGCACCCAGCCCTGGGTTCATGCTCCAGGACCAACACACACACACACACACACACACACACACACACACACACACACACACACACACACACACACACACACACCCCAATATAGGAAATGCAGCGATTTCTAACCCAGCCCTGGGTTCATGCTCCAGGACCAACACACACACACACACACACACACACACACACACACACACACACACACACACACACACACACACACACACACACACACACACACACACACACACACACACACACACACACACACACACACACACACACACACACACACACACACACACACACACACCAATATAGGAAATGCAGCGATTTCTAAGAGCTTGCACAAGCATGCATATTGATATGTCTGATTTTAGAAAATTAGTATTAGTTATTTTCATAAAGTATCACAGGCATTATGAAAGCTCTGTAATATAAAATCTATTTACCTTTACTGCATAATAATGGACTCCGTAAGTCGGCAGAGCTTCAACTATTTTCATATACCTAAGGAAAATGTATACAAATATACATCATAATCTCATTATAACAGTCAAAGGAACTCTTTTGAAAACAGTGATTGAAGTAAACACATTTAGTTTTGACTTTCCACATTTTAATCGAGATTAATGTCTTGGCTCATGTCTAAATAGAATAAACCATTATAGGAAGTAGTAGAGTTTACACCTCATCTAAATGTTAGCTTCTAACAGAACCTTAGTTTCAAAAAGGTATAGAAAATGTTGTTTCCTGCACATGAATATTTCCATGACTTCAGAATAATACTGTTTTATAAATTGAAATTGCAACTTTTTTAAGTAAGCACATAATGATACAAGCAATAAGAGTCAACTATTGGGTCATGTTGATAAAAAGTAAAAATTAAAAATAAATAAATAAAGCTTTTGCATGCATTGACTGTAGTTGAGGTTGTAAAATTCTTAGAAATATATACTTTAAAAGAATGAAATTTTATGGCTACAAATCTGACTTAAAAATAATAATTCCCCTCCCCAAATAAACATTTATGGAAATGTTGGCATTACTGGCTAGTTTTACCTTCCCTTTGAGACTTTGTAATGGACTCTACCCTCAAGGAACCTGTTCCTGTTTAACTTTGTCCCCTATTCCTTCCTTCCTTCCCTCCTTCCTTCCTTCCTCCTTTCCTCCCTTTCTTTTCTTGCAGGACTAGAGTTTGAACTCAGGGTCTTACTCTTGCTTGGCTCACTTGCTTAGCTGTCAATCTATCACTTGAGCCATGCCTCTAGTTAGGTATTTTGCTATTAACTGAAGATGGAGTATTGTAGACTTTTTTTTGCCTGGGCTGGGTTTGGACCATAATCCTCCAGATCTAGCCTCTTTGAGTAGCTAAAATTAGAAATGTGAGTCTCAGTAGCCTGGCTCTAGGACCCTTTAAAAATGACATCTTAAAGATTAATTTCTCAGTATGCTGTAACTAGTAACAATAATTTTAAAAGTACATACGCTACATGTACATAAATGTAAGAGATTAAGTAAATATGTATATGGCACTTAACTGTACCAGCCAGGAAAAGTAACTTAAGACTCCACAGGCTGAATGGATTCTTAATGACCAAGTAACAAAACTCTCCTGTTTGCAGCCACATCACAATGATCAAGAGAGGCAGAAACACTTTGCAATGTCCTGAGTAGCCAAACAAAAATCTACAGAGACACTGCCCTTCCTTTCCTTTTCTTCCCTCCTTCTCATTCCCTCTTTTCCCTCCCTCTCCTTATCCCTCCTCTCCACCTCCAGCTCAGAGAATGGGTACAGAGTGAAAAATGTCAGGATTCAGCTTTAACACCGCTGACTTCTGATTTCTGCCTTCAGGCTCAAAGGGTTGGTATGATAAAAAAAAAATGACATTAGGTCCAAGAAATATGAGTTGTAAGGAAAGGTGAGCCATGTTTTTCTAACACCAATAGACTGTGTGCCTGGCCCAAAGCAGACCTACACACTGACTTCCCAGCTTGTCTGTGAAAGTATAAGAAGACCCAGCAGCAGCACTTTATGCCTGAACTCTGAAGCTAAGTCCTCTTGCTTCAGCCTCGGCAGAAGTTCTCTGAATCACCACAGCCCTCACTGTTACCCCATCCTCTCCAACATTTGGCCTGTCTTTCTCCTTTTTGGTACCTGGCAGGCAGCTGAATGAGAGACCCCCAAAATATGTGATAACCCAATACATTTTCTTCTTTTTTTTCATGTTAAGACATTTCTAACCAGAAGCAATCTAGGTTCACAGCCAACTACTCAACAAAAATAAGTTCAAATGACTTCTTTAAACAGAAACATTAAAAATGCTACCAGAGCAAGAAGAAAGGAAGGTACTTACTGCACCACAGCTTGACCTCGAGTCAAACCTTTAATTTTCAAATAGTGCTCGATCACTCTGTCCTCACTGTAAAGCAGAGACGTTAGATGTAAGATTACACATGATATTATCAAAGGTGACACATGCTTGATTTTGTTTTGTAAGGTGACATGATTTTCACAGGGGACACATGCTTTTCTGAGACCAAATTCTATTTTCTGCTTCTCCGGCCCTGCCTGGAAGCTTGGGCAGGCAAACCTTCAGCAACACAGTTAGAAGCCATGTTGTTTCCCTAGCATAGAGATACCTGCACCCTGTCAAGTGATCAATTCTATTAGTATCTTGTTGTTGTTGTTGTTGATTGTGGGGCTTGAACTCGAGGCCTGGCCACTGTCCTTGAACCTCTTCATGTTCAAGGCTAGCGGTGTACCACGTTCAGCCACAGCGCCACTTCTGGCTTTTTTGAGTGGTTCATTGGAGATAAGAGTCTCACAGGGACTTTTCTGCCAGGCTGGCTTTGAACCAACATCCTCAGATGTCAGCCTCCTGAGTAGCTAGGATGACAGACGGGAGCCACAGGCACCTGGCTTCCATTAGGATCTTTATCTTTGAGTGTTTTTTGTTTTTTTTTAAATATGGGTTCCTACTTTCAAAACTGTCATTTCCAAGAGAAGGAAAATGAGATCAACTTTTCAATGGGAAGTGAATTTTTCATGGAATTTAATAAAATTGAGTACCTGCCTAGCAAGCTAGAGGCCCTGAGTTTAACCCCTACAATCACCACGATAGAATTGGGGGAAAAGATGGAAAATGAGTACTATATATATTAAAATACGAACTAGAAGGACTCAGTGAAGGAAGCTCTGACCAAGAGGTCTGTATGTCCTAATACTTGGGCTACACAAGACGAAGGCAGTGCCACACACAGTGAAAGCACATACCTTAAGCATGTGCTCACCTAGAAGCACACTCCACAGACAGGTTGTACATTGTAAGGACCACACACACAGGGACTCTGCAAACAACTCAAGACATGAGTTCTAGCATCACTTCCATTCAGTGGTATTTGATGAGACCCTCTCAGTGCAAGAATCGAGTCTCCCCTACAGCAGCTGTGATACACAGGATGGATAGGTTGCTCTTTCTCTCACCTAGGGCTTTCGATTTCCTGACAAACACACATGGGAAATGAATGGAGCCGATGGAGGCTGATGGAGGCCAGGCCAGGAGTTCTGTTGGCTTACCAGTAAGCAAGTGAGGGATGCTCCTGGAGGGTTTTGGTAGGAAAGACTGGCAGTGTCTTCAAATCTTTCCTGGCATTTTCATCACTAAAAGAAACACAACATGGTTAATGTCAGGTAGTGTTCCCTAAAATGTCATCCAAGTTGGTCACCAAGGGAATGAGACCTAAAAAAGTAACCACAGTACCTTGGGCTCTTGCAACATACTACAGTCACTTAGAAGCTAGTGCTCCAGCTAGTAACAGCTCTGGAATTTTGGATAACCAAGTCAAAGGATGATCCTTTGATGTTTATAGTATTTTCTGCATGGACCTGTTTTATTAGCTAATGATCAGAATTGTGCATTTTTAACTGTATTTTTCCACAGCCTTCTTTACAATCCATTGTGTGCCTCTTCACATTCCTATAGTGTCCTCCTCATTATGTTTAGTGGCTGTGAAATAGTCACCAGATTGGAATTCTAGTATCACAATCCCATTCTATGGAACTCCCTGCAATAGAACAAGACTGGAAAATGGGTTTCTAGTAAACTCAAAAGCATCTCTCAAATGACACCACATGAACCAAAAGGTACCTTAGCCATTCTCTAATTACAAAATAATAAAATCCCAGTTGCCAAGAGAAAGGTATGATCTTTGTGAAAGTTAAAAAAGGGTGGACAGGGTGGGGACCTGTGGCTCATTCCTATAATCTTAGCTACTCAGGAGGATGAGATCTGAGGATCTTGGTTTAGAAATCAGCCTAGTAGAAAAATCCAAGAGACTTATCTCCAATTAAAGAGTTAAAAAGCCATAAGTGGCAAAGTGCCAGCCTTGAGTGAAAACAAAAACAAAAACAAAACAAAACTAAGCAAGAGCACAAGGCCCTGAGTTCAAACAAAAAAAGAAATAAGTATTGAGAGACATTTGCCCGGTGCTGGTGGCTCATGCCTGTAATCCTAACTATTCAGGATGCTGAGATCTAGGACCACAGTTCAAACCCAGCCTAGGAAGAAAATCCATGAAACTCTCATCTTCAATTAACCATCAGAAAACTAGAAGTGGTGCTGTCACTCAAAGCAGTAGAGTGGTAGGCCTTGAATGAAAAAACTCAGGGACAGCACCCAGGCCTAAGTTGAAGCCCCAGGACTGACCATAAATAAATAAGTAAATAAATAAATAAATAAAATGCCATTTATGGCTGCTCTTGCAAGGATGATACAAAATACTCTTTCACTGTCCCAAGTTTTTTTTTTTTGCTTTTGTTTTATTTGGTTGGTTCTGGGACTTGAACTCTAGGTCTAGGTACTGTCCCTGAGCTCCTTTGCTCAAGGCTAGTACTCTACCACTTAGAGCCACAGCTCCACATCTGGTTTTCTGATGGTTAACTGGAGATAAGGGTTTCAAGGGCTTTCCTGCCAGGGCTGGCTTTGAACCATGATCCTAGATCTGTTTCCTGACTAGCTAGGATTACAGCCATCAGTGCCCAGCTGCCTGAAGTATTTAAGGAGCTGGTCTATGGAGAAACAAACATGACTCTAAGGTCTGTTCATCCACAGCTTAGTGCCAACTCTTCCTCTCCTTATCTCTCACTGCATCCTATTATCAACCACTGGCTACTCTATGTTGGAAAGTATCTGAGTACCAGGCAGTCTGTGGCACATTTATGGGCATTATTTTCCTCATCACAAGCCTTCCCTGTGTAACACATTACTATTACCAGTGCTCTTCTGGAAAGTGTGAGGTTTAGAGAGATGAACACACTTGCTCCATTTTTTAAATTCCTCTGTAGCAACTGGGGTTTGATATCAGGACCTTGTGTTTGCCAGGAAGGCACTCTATCACTGAGTCATGGCTTTGTGCTGATTAATTTTGAGATAGGGTCTTGCTTCCTGCCTGGGTGAGTGCCTAGGCTGCTATTCATCTATATTAAGCTTTTCATCCTAGCTGGGATGACAGGCGAATGCAACTATGCCTAGCATCTTTCTGTTAAGATGGAGTCTCATAGTCTTTTTTTGCCCTGACTGGCCTAGAACTACAATTCTCCTATATAGCTTCGGATGAGGTTCCATGGAGCCCAGCTATAAGCTGGAAAGGGGGATATCATGAACTTCTTTGCCTTGGGTGGCCTCAGACCACAATCTTCCCATTCTCAGCCACTCAAGTAGCCAACGTGACAGATGTGAGCTAACAGCCTTGAGCTCAAGTTCTACCTTCTGATTGTCAGAATCCCAGGGTCAGAATCAGAAAATGCTGATAAGATTTGAATCCATCACTTGTGTGTCTTTACATTCACTTTCCTGAGTTTGCTCCAATGTGAATCATGATACCGAAGCTGATGAACCAGGTAGAGGACTGAACTTGAACCCAAATTGAATTTCCTTCCAAAGCAAAGCATTCAGCCCTCACAATCAATTGTTACACCCAGATCTAACTGGGGATATAAGCACATGGCCTCCAAATAGGTTTGGCCCACACACTGCTGGGCAGGTTTAGAGGTTGCTCTTTCCTATTCTGCTGTTTAACTGCTTCTCCTCCAGTAGCTACAGAAAGTTTGTTTTCTGGTTCTATCAATTTGTTTCCTGACAAGCTGCAGCCCAGCAAAAGTGAACCCACTGAGCAGATGTTACATAAACTTCCTGTCTTTTTATAAGAAGAGATAGTGAGACTTTCTGCCTAGCTTGGGGCCACTGTGATTTGCACCCATTGATGTTACATTTCGAAACCAGGGTGGTAGCTCTTCTTAAAGATGAAAGATCTTGCTTTCTAAATATTACAGGAAATAAAAAGTCACTTGGCTCCTGTACTTACATAAGAACAAATCTCTCTATTCATTTGAGTGGTGCAGCTTAATCATGCTGACAGTCTTGGGAAACTGGTTTGGGCTTCCGGAAAATCAAAATATTACAATCCAACTTATTCATATTAAAGGTCAACTGTCAACTCCCAGAATTAACATTTATTTTTCTTGATTTCTTTGATGCTTTGCTTTTCAAAGCCTACTGATTCCCCGTCCGCCCCTCCAATGTTTGTGATTGAACTCAAGAGTCTCAAACACGCCAGGTAAGTGCTCTATCACCAAGCTACATCGCTATCCCTTCTTTCTCTCTCTAGCACTGAAGAAAGAAGTCAGGGCCTGGCACTAAGTAGGTGCTCTACCACTTGAGCCAGGCTTCCAGCCCAGCCCTTTTTGCTTTGTCTTTCAAATAATGTCTCACATTTTTGTCTGAGGGTAGGGTCTGGAACTTGATTCATCCCACAGAGCTGGGATGACAGGTACATGGCACGAGGCCTGGTTTATTGCCTGAAATGGAAACTTACTAACTTTTTGCCTGGGCTGACCTGTTCTTTTCTGCTTCCTAAGTAGCTGGTATTACTTGAATGAGCCATTGCACCCTGCTTTTTCATTTTTATTTTTTATACTAAGGTATCTACTTATCCATCAATCATCTATGTATTTTTTTAGTGTTTTATACCTTTAATCCCTGTTACTCAGGAGCTATGTATTTTTTTTTTAAAGAATAAAGTTTAGAAGAACATTCTTTGTAATGAGACAAAAAAGGAAACACCAAATATCCCATAGCAGGAGAAATAATAAAACTGTAATGAATTCACATAGCAGAATACCAGGCATTAAGAACAGATGACAGCTACATAAGACATGGATGAAGCTCACAAATACTGAGCCAAAAGGCAAGACCCTAGATAAATATCCTGCAGTGGGCTGAGGTGGCACTTGCCTGTAATCTCAGCTCTGGAGAGCACAGGCAGGGGTTTGAGGCCAGCTTTTAAAAGGGAGTTCTAGCCCAGCCTAGGCTACAGATTAAGATCCTGTATCTGGATTCCAAACAAGAAAGAAAGAGAGAAAGAGAGAGGAAGGAAGGAAGAGAAAGAAAGAGAAAGAAAGAAAGGAAGGAAGGAAGGAAGGAAGGAAGGAAGGAAGGAAGGATGGAAGGAAGGAAGGAAGGGAGGAAGGAAGGAAGGAAGGAAGGGCAATGAAAACAAGAAAATATGTAGCATAGTCAGACTATCTCTGAGGACAGAAAAGCCATTGTACTAGCATGGGGAAAGGCACACATGAAACACAATGGCAGTGGTGGTGGCCAGGCTAAAGCCCTGGCCACATTCCTCTGGGCTGTGCACATTATCTCTGTTGTTCCTTCTCACTGTAAGTACACGTTACAAACTTTCCAACGTACTGACCACCAAGCGAATCCATCGAGTTGTTTGTAACACTGGCACATCATCCCAGAGGGTTAATTCCCATCATTCTTAGAGCTTAGGACCAAACAGAATTTCACGTTTCAGTGAATAGCCAGTAGCTGAGTGATTATCTGTTCTTCCTCCTGGGGAATTTGCCCGGAAGCCTGAGCCTGATGAGATCCACGGAGTTTTGCAGAGACAGCCAGGCCTGGTTTTAGCACCCTCCCTTCCCCCAGATGGCGGGACAGGCAGGATGGTTTATATGAATCAGGATCAACCTCGGAGGCCAGAGGGAGGGCTCCAGAGCAGCTGGGAGGTGAGTGGGTCTCCATCGGGGATGTCTCTGCCTTTCACTAGCAATAAATACACTCCTCCTGTCTGGACATTCCTGACCCCAGTGGCAAGGCATATGTTATTGCAAAGACACACTTGACCAGATTGCCAGGGGAGACGGTGTTCTCCAGGCCCTAGCCAGAGAGAATGCCCATAAATCTCCATCCCTTGTTACTCAGGGAACCAAAACAGCAACTGCTTCTCTCCATCACCTCAGCAGGAATTCAGACATTAACCTAAGAGCTTGCCTGCATTTTACCTGATTTCCCAGGCAGAGCTCTGCCCTTAGGCCTTCTGGAAAGAAGCAACCCTGACCCTGCATTCAGCCACTGCAACTATACTTTCAGGCGCTGATTCCTTTGGTCTTTCTCAAGCGCCCTACCATAGGCTGTGTTTGTCTTCACTGACCTCCAAAGCCCTAAAGGAATGTGCCATCCCCACCCATTCTGGGGAAAGCCACATGGTTGGCCACACCAAAGCCACCCTTTATGTACGCTAGAGCACTTGTGTGGAAAAAGCCATCCACCCCCCAGCAAATGTGTGCACCTGCTTGCTCAAAGCAACAACAATCAG